TCAATTATTGGTTTTTACACTGATGTTATACATACAACACAGAGTGCCGAAGCCAAAACTGCAATAAGACCGAAATGTTTAGAAACTGCAGCATGATGGAAGAGTAAAGACCTTGAAGACCAAAACATTTTTTGACAAAATTATTGGAAAGAGATTATTCTACACACTGTTGGCAGTGAAATCGAATGCACTGAAGAAAGTATTCAGAATACGACACAGATTTTGAAATTGGAGTGAAAGAGTGAACTATCAATTATTTTAAACGATTTAGAAATTAAGTTGCTGAAAATACATAAGAGAGCCATGACATCTATGAGGGTCAGTTTCAACTGATAGAAGGCAATTCTCACCTATGTTAATAGTAATATTGGTGGCTCTCCCAGAGAGAAAAATTTATCAGTGGTGTTATAGCATAATCATACACTCCTACATAAAAGTAAGAATGTAGCAATGTTAAATAAAATCAAGCTAATCAAAGGCAAATAAAATCTCCTTTATATTACTAACAAAACCATTATCATAAATATTGGTAGTATATTCCTTTCTTTTATACACTTTCATTTTGCTTTTGTGAGCTGATGTTACAGTAAAATGCTTGAATCTAGGATTTTTTATTTTGTTGTTAGTTTTTCTTGGATACAAATTTGCATGCCATTCACCACATTCTCGTTTCAATGCTTCTATCTTGTATCGTTCATTAGTTGTCTGATTTATGGCTGCAAGGTACAGATGATAAATAGTGAATCCACTTATAAGAAACCAAAGCAATGCTAAAGTAATCGTAAGAAAAACCATCAAAGGGTGCTCCAGGAATAAATGCTAAAAAAAAACAAACCAGAAGACAAAATGTATTTAGCAAGTTAAATGTACAAGCAGTTAAGGCAGGGGCGTCACAACCTACAGCCATAATATCGGCGCTGGTTCTGGTGGTGGAACAAGTGCTTTTGGATAAGGATTATAAACTGTAGGCCCAGTGTACACAATTTGGCTCCTGTGTACATTACATCTTTCGAGATAAGTAGAGGATTACCCCAGAGTATATTTAGGCAATCTTTCAATTCATTTTATTCAGTCTATTATAAATAAATTTAACAGAAATGTGCTTTGAAGCTAAGTGATCAAACATAAACAGTTAAAAACAGACTTGAAACTTCAAATTGTTCCAAACAGAACAGTGTAAAAATGTTAAAATGTTATATTATTAAAATACAGTAGAAGGTATTAAGTGATATTATTAAAACATTAAAATATGTTATCAAAACATTATATTATTAAAACATTAAAAGACAGTGAAAAGTATTAGGATATATTATTAAAACACTGTATGATAATAAAATAAAAAGAGCACAAAATGCATTAAAATACTATAAAATGATTGCATTTTTGTTAAACAACTTAAGACCAGGTTTAAAATAAACGTAAAACAGGGATGGAGAATATAAATTCAAATACATTACATATCAATATTAAAACTACTCAATAAACTTTTGCTGTGACAATGTGAAAATCAACAAGATGTTTGTCAGAGACCTACTGACATGACTAATACTGCGCCTGTGTGAGAATAAATTGGTAGTGATAAGGAGCTGATATCAATACACAAATTGCATACAAACCTGTAATATTACTCTAAAGTTAACAGGCCTAAGTTTGCCTTCTGAATCCAGATATTGTGCCTTATGGAGTCCTGTGCTATAAACAATGTTCAGGAGAGAATACGCTCCTAGAATAACGATATGTATACACATCAAAGCTGTAGTGATTAGGTAGCCAATGAAAAGTTTCACATTGTAAGCACCAATGCAATTGTTTACCCACGAACAGTGATGATCAAAGCGAACCACACACCGGTTACATATTGCTGTCAAAAAGAAATGTCCTTGTTTATTTACTTCAACTTTCTTTATAGACATAGACATAGACATCACTTTATTAATCCAAATCCTTGGAAATTACATCGCTCTTTCAATAAATTAAGCAGGAAAAGTAATTCAATGCAATAAATAATAACTATCTTACATATCTAACATTAAACAGGTAAATGCCCCTCGCAATGAATGAGTTAGAATAACAGTTCGTGTTAGCAGCTGGTACCCTCAGTCTACCGCTGCGTTGTATAACGGGTGACTTTCGTCAGACATCACGTTATCAAACTTATTAACTAGTCGTTCTTTGTAGACTGAGTGCACCGATTGCAGTTCCGAACCGATAATCTTCCCAAACCTGTATCTGTAATGTAACTGTATCTGGACAGTGCCATTATAGAGGGGGACAGGGGTGAAGACAGTGGCGTTGAGAGGGGTGGGGCAGGCAGAGGGGTTGGGCAGGCAGGGGGTTGCTGCCCAGGGTCTACTGGATGAAAAATTCTACATTATGGTTTTATGGGCGTCTTTCTCAGTCTGTATTTTTATGACTTGAATAATCCCCCAAGGGAATAGTATGTCCAATGCTCTCCTGTTCCAAACCAGATGCCCTCCCCCCCACTCAATCCATAGGTGCTTCACCGTCATGAAATCTGTCTGTGGTCATCACAGATCCGGGGGGTGGGGGAGTGGGGGATGCCATTTCCTGCATAGAGACTTTTTTTGTGGTCGGGAATCTGCAGCGGAGAAGGGCTGCGGGTCAAATGTAATTTAACAATACTTGTTATAACATCTATCTGTGATTTTATGTTCCCAGGTTACCTAATAAAGAAGATATTATTTGAAATATTTTATTGGGAACCTGACGTTGTTGGTTCCGAAGTTACTGTCAGCTTGTACAATGTTTGAAACACACTAGATATACTAGAGGCTTGATGGATAATGCACATGCCATATCAAGGGACCGGTCCAAGGGACGCCCTCGGTGGTCCGTGTCGCCTCCCCATAAAACTTGACCCAGGTCATTTTGTGTGCCACCAGCAGGCTCCTGTTTAGTCGATCAGGATCAGTAAAGCCAGAACCGTGGCAACCGTGACACCGGCCCAGTGATAAGGCACGTACACATGTACATGTTGTTTGAGTAAGAAAACATAAGCATAAACACGATGAACAGACAATTGGTGATAAACTGAAGCAGAAAAAAAATTGAAAGGGGGAATGGGACATTAGCTAAATAAATACAGACCTCTGTATCTTACATTGCAGTGGTGGCGCCAGGACCTGCTCGACGGAGGGGCTAAAGGTCTCGAGGGGGGGGGGCTAGTGGAGAGAATCGAGTCTCACTTGGCTGGGGCCGCCCAAGGCCACTGTGGGGGTCCAGGGGGGCGAAGCCCCTGGAAGCCAGGGATATTTGATGAATTATAGCGAGTTTTTATTACTTATTTGATAGGCATCGAGTTACTACAGGTATATGACTTTATGTAGGCTATGCTTTCTAATGTTGAAATCAACTTCCAAAACCAAAACCTGTTGAATAAAGCAAGAAACAAAGAGTATGCAAAGTAAACATCTAATTTATTTTCAAATCCTCATTATTGAAAGTGAAATTCTATATTTTTGAAATTTTGCATGAAATCTGTCAACCCCGCTGTCATGGTCGAGGTTGCTTCACCTATCATGATGTATTCCAACCATCATAAGGCTATCTAAATGAGCATTTGTCATAACAGAACGCAAATTATTTTCAATTAGTCTCATTGAATTATTATTATTATTATTATTATTATTATTATTATTATTATTGTTGTTGTTGTTGTTGTTGTCATGATGATGATGAAACAATATGAACGAATATTACATGTAAATATTTTTTTAATTTGTTTGTTCCCCAACAAATTATCGTCCTCTGGTGCCACCACTGTTACATTTGTGTAGTGTGCTGTAGTGTAGAGTAGTGTATCCCCGGAATTTGTCTTGAATGATATGGGCTTGGCTGGGTTCAGTGTTCACTTGGCTTGAGGAAAGTGTACAGTTACCAAGGCATTTTCAAAGGAACGCACATGCGGCTGCAATTTGCATCACTTGCATGCATGCATTTTGACTGCGTGTCAAAAAAACGTTTTTTCACAATTTCTGATTCTGAATACACAATACTACACTGGATTGAAGTGGATTTCAGGATTCACAACACATGAAAGTAAGTTACGTATAAGATATCCCTTTTGAAATATGTGTATCAAATTATATTTCAACACATTTATGCTTATTTTCAAACTCTCGAAGTACATTTTCTATTTGCAAATTTGATTAGCACAGTATTTGATTTCAGGTTAAGTCACCTACATAGTAAGGCTTATCACCACAAGTCAGGAGCACAAAAGCGGAAGGAAAAAGTGACCAAGGATAAGAACACAGCAAAGGGACAACGGCTACTTGAAAACCTTGGGTTTTCAAAGAAAGAGCCTTTGCAAAATATCACGGATACAGTCATCAGTAGTAATCAGGAAACAGC